ACGTCCAAATTTGGCCATAGTGCGCATACGAGCCAAAAGTGACGTTATTTTTAAGAGGACGGGTTGTCCTGGCCGCCCAGTACTGAGAATGTAAGGAGTACCTTGCGAAATGCATCCCTAGACGTCGGACCATAATAAATGTGCGAACGTGAACTTTGGAAAGTTAATTTTTCAACTTGCCTCGAGAAGGAAAAAAAAACATAAGAAATATTGAGAACATTCGTGTTAGAATCATTAATCTTACCCTTTCGGTCATATTCAACAACATAGGTTTACAAGAAATATATATATACATATACATATATATACATATACATATATATATATATATATATATATATATATATATATATATATATATATATATAATCTTTGGACAACACCCACCAGTGGGCCTCGAACCCAGAAAGCACAACTACCTTCCAGTAGCTGCCATAACTAGTACGCCTTAAATGTTAAATGTTAAGGCGTACTAGTTATGGCAGCTACTGGAAGGTAGTTGTGCTTTCTGGGTTCGAGACCCACTGGTGGGTGTTGTCCAAAGATTGTTAATCTTCACTTGTGGTTTATGCAAGTATAGGCTTATATATATATTTATTTATTTATTTATAATTTATTATCGTGCTGAAGCTGACCTTACGAGAGGCAGTTTCTTACTGCAACTCCGACATTCTTACCTTCCGAAATCCAGACCAAATGCGTATTTTCTTGGAAGGGTTACGTTTAATCCCGACTTGTCCAGTGGATATTCGCAGTGGGTATCATTCCCTATGGGCGATCTTATCCCAGGGACGATTATTCACCAGGGGGCGATCATTCTCAGACCACCATTTATATACACAAGGTGGAAGGCAGACATGAAGCACAAAACTTCAGTCCAGTTTCACGTGAATGTTTAACATGCAACATGACGAAATCCGTAAGAGGCTAGTAGAACACCTAGAAACAAGATCATCTATAACACAACACTTGGATTCAGGAACAGAAAATCTTGCCTTTCAAACTTAATTAGAATTACATGATCGGGCGACAGAAATCAGACAAGGCAAAGAAGGGTGATCAGACTACATACTTTTGAGTTGGCAGAAAGCCTTCGATTCAGTACTCAACATGAGATTAGTGAACAAGTTGGAGAAAGAGGCGCATGAGATACATGGAACGTGCTCGAGTCGCACCCATCCTTGTAAATTGCTAGTACCAGTACTTAGACCAACTATTTGGTCGACCATTATATACTGTTGAACCCCCCAAAATAGAACTTTTTGTAAAAGGATTAATTTTTGCAAAAGTTAATTTTTTTAGAAACCCGATAAAATCTAAAATCTATATTAACTTTCCTAGGCCTAGTATAGCACATACATGTACTATATTAGGTCTAAGATAGCGTATTTTAGGATTAGTATTCCTTACGACAGATAAGGCTAGGTTCTTTAGATGCATTTCTAACTTTATAGAATGTCATTTGGGCCAAATTCAGTAATACAAAAAATGAACTTTTGTGGGTCCAACAGAGCACATTGAGACGTGTGATCAAATAGTTGTCATAATTTCATTTATTTATTTATTTATATACAAGAAATTACATTGGGTTTTATGAGAGAGTACATAGTATTAATGTTTTAACATTCTTGTAAAGCCACTAGCACGCATAGCATTTCGGGCAGTACTATAATTTAAGGAGGATAAGTTGTCCGGTGACATGGGCGCGCACAGATATAACCAGTAGGGTGCCACTGAAATCAGAGCTAGGATCGTAATCTATGTACATCATTGGTGCCCAATAGGAGAATGACAATGTTTTATGGCGGAACCTAAATGCTGAATACTAGTACATCTGAATCATCAAGAATTAGCAAGTGGTGAGTATCATGATTAGGGCATTTTTTTCAATTATAAAAGTAAGGCGGGGGATCGCAGGTTTTTTGAGTATTAGATAATTAGCCGCGAGTTTAAAAAGGTTGGGGGGACTACTGGATTGTACGTGGTCTCCAAGACATGAAACTTCTTTGCAATATTTTCGGAAGGCAAAAATTGTTAGGAAGACATATAGTGTAAGACTGAAAGAAACAGACACAGAATAACAGAAACTTTATTCGTAACAACTTATACAAATCACTGCAGTAATTGCTGAACTAAACTGGTGTACAGCAAGTTAAATCAAACTTACATTTTTGGCATAAAGAGAGTAGTATTTAGCTTACAGTTTGAAAAAAAAGTGTACTTTACCATTAGACTACATTATATTTGCAAGACTGATCAACATAAAAACTACATTTAGAAATCTGAATAGGAAGTCATTCATGACCTTGTGTACCACATATATCATACCAGTCAGAATCTATCCGGAATATGCTGTACCAGCTTGGGGCTCTGCTCTACTCTCCTTAAAAGTAATTTAACGAAGCTGGTTTATGTTCTGAACCGTATTATTTACTTGCCGGTACACGAGCAAGGGGACAGTGGTTAAAACTAAGTGTCCAAATGAGTCAAATTTTTTAAGGTTTAGTTCATTTATTATGCACCCCATACCTTTCCTGTGGGCGATAGTGGAAAGGGTTACAGAGGCACATAATGGCGGTCAGGGACTGAACCCTAAAATTCATATAGCTAAGCAAGTTACAGTCTTGATGAGCTAGTTACAAAATTTAATGCACATCATATCAACAATGGGCTCGAGACATGCCCTTAGAAAATTTGAAAGTCAAAATAGGCTACTGAGTGTATGGAAAGCACTAAAAAGAGAAATGATGGATGAAGTCATTTCTCACAGGTACAAAAATAGATATGACAGTGCCTCAAAGACACAACGAACATGTACATCAATCTATTGAAAGGATACAAATATTCTTCATCTTCAGATGCAAAGAGCTGAAGCTAAACCTCCGCAAGCACAATTAGGCGAATGCACACATAACGCAAAGCAGGACAGAAAATAGTTTCACGATGAAATTAACAATGTCATATTCAAAACATGTCTGAAAAATGATCTCCATACACCATTCAAAACATTTACACTTCTCCGCCATATTCATATATGTTTATTATTCAAAATAATAACAAAATCAAAATAATAATAAAATAATAATTATTCAAACCTTCAACAAAATCATTATATATCAAGTGCAATCCTTAAAAAAACTATAATTATAATGTTTACGCAAGACTAAGCGTATTAAGTACTGCAGTTCACATCAAATATATAATCACAAAAATATCATCATTTTTTTAAAGCTAGGCTTGAACAGAAATTAATTAACGATTTACAAATGTCTTTTATACCATCTGATGTTATCATTTAATGCATTAACTATTCAGAAATTATTTGAATAAGATTTATTAATGGCTATATCAAAATTTGCGAATTCTGAGCATTATGATAAACTATAATTTGATACATGCCTTATACTGCATCAAGAATAAACTTCAATATACCATACATGCCTCATACTGCATCAAGGATAAACTTCAATACATCATACATGCCTCATACTGCATCAAGGATAAACTTCAATATACCATACATGCCTTATACTGCATCAAGGATAAACTTCAATACATCATACATGCCTCATACTGCATCAAGGATAAACTTCAATATACCATACATGCCTTATACTGCATCAAGGATAAACTTCAATATACCATACATGCCTTATACTGCATCAAGGATAAACTTCAATATACCATACATGCCTCATACTGCATCAAGGATAAACTTCAATATACCATACATGCCTCATACTGCATCAAGGATAAACTTCAATATACCATACATGCCTCATACTGCATCAAGGATAAACTTCAATACATCATACATGCCTCATACTGCATCAAGGATAAACTTCAATACATCATACATGCCTCATACTGCATCAAGGATAAACTTCAATACATCATACATGCCTTGTACTGCATCAGTATAGACAGATGAAACATTTAGTCAAACTTAGATTATTATCTTTCATTGAACTTAATCTTTCTAATATTTTACACGACTCATTTGTTTGAAATAAATTAGTTATAAATAAAACTATTACTATATTGATATATTCGTAATTCAACTTTGAGCCCCCCTTGCCTAGGTTTAATGGCATCTAATTTGTAAAGAAATTTTGAATATAAATAGGGATATTCCAAATCTTCCTCCACCTCTCAGACAATAGAACAGATACTGTCACACAATATTCAGTCAATATTTCACATACATCTTGAATGTAAGATAAATCTTATATACAGCTTAATAGTTTCTTCTATTAAATATAAATTAACTTCATTATATATTGAGAGTTTATGCATAATTAGGCCTCGAAAGGATAGGTTAGGTAAGGTGGTTTCATTTTCAAAATTTGGAGTGTGTGCTGCAACCCGTCCTCAGATCAAGTCTATTCCATCCAGCGGTCAACCCCAAAGACTCATTCGTCAATTTTAAAATGCTGTTCATCAACAACAATTTTCTCAAATATAAATGAATATTATTATAAATTAGCATAATGTGCACATTTAAGCATTGGTTAGGTTAGGTGTTTAAGTTCTGTTGGCGATTATTTATATTTGTAGTTCGTGGGTGAATCATTTCAACCCGTCCTCGACTCAAGTCCATTACATCCAGCGGTCGACCCCACAGACGCATTCATAAATTTTAATCTGCTGTTCAATCAAAACGGGAATTTTCTCAAGTATAAATTAATATTATAATATATTAGCATATTGTGCATATATAGGCATAGGTTAGGTTAGGTTAGGTGTGTAGGTTCTGTTGGCGATTATTTGTATTTGTAGTACGTGGGTGAAGCATTTATACCGTTGTGATTCGAACAAAATTCGTCAGTGAAGCACTTGTTCCTGATATGTTCGAACGTTAGCAGTTGTGAGTCGTGTGTAAACCGCTTTTCATTCATAAACAGGGGGTTTGGCGGGTGCATGGAATTACTTTTGGATCTTTGTTTGGAGGACGGGCTGATCATTTACAGCTTTGTGGTTCGAACAAAATTCGTCAGTGAAGCACTTGTTCCGGAAGTGTTGGAACGAAATCAGTTGTGGGTCGTGTGTAAACCGTTTTTCATTAATAAACAGGGGGTTTGGCGGGTGCATGGAATCACTTTTGGATCTATGGAGGACGGGCTGTGGGTCATAGCTTCGAACAGCAAGTGAACGAAGCACGTCTTGGGTCATAGCCTCGAACAGCAAGTGAACGAAGCACGTCTTGGGTCATAGCCTCGAACAGTAAGTGAACGAAGTACGTCTTGGGTCATAGCTACGAACAATCATATTAAATGAACACGGAATGACACCGACTGAAATAATTTTTTTTTGCATGCACATCGTGAATTCGTTGGTCCTTTGATTTGATTATGAGTCAGAATAATTGATAATCTTGTATTGCGGTCAGGACATTTTTAAAGCTGTGTCGAACCAAGACTTTGCGGAAGTAGAGTAGTCAACCTCCTGATGTTCTAATCAGTAACTTGTAAAGCCATCTGAAGCCAAACTATAATGCTCCGCTATCTCTTAAACTAATGATGTATGCATCTTGAAAATCTGCCGGCCCCTATGCTGACGTTTCTTCTCCGCAAGTGCATCTCTGGAAAATAAAGGAGGACGAGTTAGCCAAACTTTTTTTTTTTTTACTTTGAGCCTAATAGGGTATTCCCCCCCTGAAACATACAAAATGTTGAGTGTTTGTTGTTGTGCTTGAGGCCTAGCAACTGCTAGAGGGTTTGATGACCAAATCACACATCAGAAAATGAAGAAACGACGACGTTTCGGTCCATCCTGGACCATTATCAAGTAGCAACCCGTCCTCGACTCAAGTCCATTACATTCAGCGGTCGACCCCACAGACGAATTCATAAATTTTAACATGCTGTTCATGCAAAACGGGAATTTTCTCAAGTATAAATTAATATTATAATAGCATATTGTGTATATATAGGCATAGGATAGGTTAGGTCAGGTGTTTAGGTTCTGTTGGCGATTATTTAAATTTGTAGTACGTAGGTGAAGCATTTATTGCGTTGTGATTCGAACAAAATTCGTCAATGAAGCACTTGTTCCGGATATGTTCGAACGTCAGCAGTTGTGAGTCGTGTGTAAACCGCTTTTCATTCATAAACAGGGGGTTTGGCAGCTGCATGGCATCACTTTTGGATCTTTGTTTGGAGGACAGGCTGCAAGTAGTGTCATACAACCAACCCGTCCTCGACCCAAGTCCATTCCATCCAGCGGTCGACCCCACAGACGCATTCATAAATTTTAACACGCGGTTCATTCAAAATGGGAATTTTCCCAAATATAAATTAATATTATAATATATTAGCATATTGTGAATATATAGTCATAGGTTAGGTTAGGTGTTTAAGTTCTGTTGGCGATTATTTGTATTTGTAGTACGTGAGTGAAGCATTTACTGCGTTGTGGTTCGAAGAAAATTCGTCAGTGAAGCACTTGTTCCGGAAGTGTTCGAACGAAATCAGTTGAGTCGTGTATAAACCGTTTTTCATTCATAAACAGGGGATTTGGCGGATGCATGGAATCACTTTTGGGTCTTTGTTTGGAGGACAGGCTGTGTCATAATGCAGCCCGTCCTCCAAACAAAGATCCAAAAGTGATTCCATGCACCCGCCAAACCCCTGTTTATGAATGAAAAACGGTTTACACACGACTCACAACTGCTGACGTTCGAACATATCCGGAACAAGTGTTTCACTGACGAATTTTGTTCGAATCACAACGCTATAAATGCTTCACCCACGTACTACAAATACAAATAATCGCCAACAGAACCTAAACACCTAACCTAACCTAACCTATGCCTATATATGCACAATATGCTAATATATTATAATATTAATCTATACTTGAGAAAATTCCCGTTTTGAATGAACAGCAGATTAAAATTTATGAATGCGTCTTTGGGGTCGACCGCTGGATGTAATGGACTTGAGTCGAGGACGGGTTGCATAATGTAGTGTAGATAATTAGTGTTGCGTGTAGTGCTGATGGTTGTGAGTAGTTAAGATGGTTACAGTGAGGAAGAGTGTGAAATAAAGACAGTGCTGAAGGTCACATTTAATGATAATTAATACAGTAATGATGATTGTGTAGTAAAGTTGGTCACAGTGATAAAGATAGTGTGTAGTGAAGATGGTTAATTAGTAACATTATCACTGCCCAATAACTTGGGCTGGACAGTAGAGCGACGGTCTCGCTTCATGCAGGTCGGCGTTCAATCCCCGTCCGTCCAAGTGGTTGGGCACCATTCCTCCCCCCCCCCATCCCATCCCAAATCCTTATCATGACCCCCTCCAATGCTATACAGTCGTAATGGCTTGGTGCTTCTCCTGATAGTTCCCTTCCCTACGCCCTAACTATGATTAAGTTTGGTTAAGGTTACATTAGGTTATGGTTAAGTTAGGTTTCATTACGTTAATAGTGTATTATTCTCAAATACGTGATATATGATATTCAAAACTATTTGAGTATCCCCTAAAATTTAACTTACAGAAAACAGATTCTTCGGACCCTTTAAGAGAAAACGTATTAAGCGTAACCCCCCCCCCCAGGGCCTAGCAGCTGAGTGGACAGCACTTCAGATTCATAGTCCTGACGTTCCTGGTTCTGGGCAGTTTCTTTAACCCTGATGCCCCTGTTACCTACCAGTAAATAGGTACCTGGGAGTTAGACAGCTGCTACAGGCTGCTTCCTGAGGGTGTGTAACAAAAATAAAAAAAAGGCCTGGTTGAGGACCGGGCCGAGGGGACGCTAAGCCCCGAAATCATCTCAAGATAACCTCAAGATAGTATGTAGTAAAGATGGTTACAGTGATGAAAGTAATGTCATATCTTCGCCATGTCGCGAAGATATAGCGTTCGCCATACGAACAAATACAGATACTCTTTCTAGTTATTACATTAGCGGGGTAAGTATCACGGTCTATGGTGAGCCCGTAGTGGACTTACCTGGCACAGGAGCGGTGCTGTGAGTTGTTTTCTACAGTTGTCTGTTGTTGTTGTTTCGGATTTAGCTACTCGGAACGAAGTGTCCATGTAGCACGGGCTATGGTGAGCCCGTAATACAGTTGTCACGTCACATAAATTATGTCCTAAATTGCCAGAACCTAACCTGAGGACCCACGAATAAAATACTGTACAGCCAATTTTACAGCAGTCAGTTTTGCGAGCCGCTATGATTTATAGTTCATCATATTTTGGCGTTGATGATTTATACGTCAAAATGCGATGTACTGTTCTAGAGGACAGATTGTAACTATTTTTTTCATATAATTATGAAATTATCATTTTTGAATTAAGCCTAGACTAATGTAGAGGGAAGGCAACGACTGAGCCATCAAGCCAACCTTGTCCTCTTACAAAGAACGTCGCTTTTCGCTCGTATGTGTTACTAAGGCCAAAAATTGTCGTACTCGAAAATGGAAGCGGCTCGCGAAAGAGACGTACTGTACCGTTTTCTGTTTTGGGTCCTCTGGCTTATTCCGTTAGGTTAGGAGAGGACACGTTAAATTACCCGTTTTCTTGACGTTTTGAAACCTTAGGAGGACGGGCTAATCAAGCAGTATGTAATTTCATCGCGGGAATGAGTCGTGGATGACGCAATGCTCATACAGTTTCAGTAATGAAGCCTAATGTTCATCAGCTTATAGTTGATTATGTAATGTTTCCGATGGTTGGTTAGGTTCGTAAAGAGTGCATAAAATCTGACTAATTTAGGACTAGCGCAAAACTAAAGTTTTTGTTAACATTGCGTTCTAGGCTAAATCTAATTAAATACGTATATAGCCATTTAAATCTTATTATTAAAATGTTAAGCTAAGTAGTTTTCAATGTCTCATTTAGCCTAACATCATTATAGCGACTAAGTAGCGTCTAAAAGTCTAGCCTCAACTTTTGAAATGTAAAAAAATCGTGTAATGAAAAAGCATTTTGAGACAGGGTTTCGTAGTACAGTTGGCTTCATTTTCGACTCGCAATCGGGGATCCCCTAGTTCGATTTCCGTGCGGGACAGAAATAGTTGGGCACGTTTGCTTTCACCTACGCTAATACCTCCGTTCACCAAGCAGTAACTAGGTATCCGACAGTTAGGCAACTGTCATGGGGTTGCATCTTTGGGAGGGTCAGTTGTTCGACCTTGGGAGGTATGGAGAACCATAATAAACTATGAAAGTGGCGATGCTGTTTACCTATTTACACCAAAGCAAAAACAGCCTAATCTAACCAAGGGTGCAGACACCTACACAACAGTAATGCGATTACAGTAATATATTTAAAACAAACTTAGGCCTACTGGTACTATATTTTGATCAAGAAATTTATTTAGGGTAAATTTCTCATAATCATCATTTTATCTTACTTACGTTCAACAAATAGTATGTAACAACCTTTGAATGATGCTCATTATTCATTGTTCTTAAGGGGCTTGAAATCAAACTGATTCTTGGGTCGCGAGGCAAGCATTCTTGACAGGAAAGTGCTGCTTGCTGAATGACAGGTCTCAGATGAGCTGCTGTTAGTGGCTTTCATGGCGTTCCTGTCTTCTCCTGCTGCCTCATCGCTAGTAGTCGACTCCGCTGGGATTCCTTCTGCTGGAGCTGGGCTCGAGACCTGCTTGTCGATTTCCGAGTATGGCGGAGGAGCTTCGTTCTGGAGGTCACTATAGGCAGGAGGAAGGTCTCTATTAGATGGTGTTGGGCCTGCAGGGATTGGCACTACCACGCTTCTCACGAAGGTAGAATTCCTCACTACCTGGACATTCCTTCTACGATTCTTTCTACGGCAGTAAAAGCTGCAAAAACTAACGCAAAAAAGTATGGCACCCACTGGGATGAAGATAACATGGCTTGTACTGGAACTGTAAGTACTTGCATACCGAGTTTCGGAGCCGAAAGTCTTGGTATATATTTCACTCAGATTCTTCATTACCCTGTCGTCTCCAAAAGGACTGTCGCTTTCGGGAAAAGATAATGGCTCAAGTAAGCACTCTATGCCAGGTTTTCCAAGGACAGTTAAAATATCAGCACTAATTTGAACTCCACTTGTTAAGTTACAACCAAATGGGTCCCATAAATATGTAAATTTGATAGTGTTCGTGCCCATTAAAGTCAAGTGAAACGTAAAACCTTCAGTGTCAAAGCTAACCTCGTACCATTGCCAACCTCTTAAATCTTGCATCGTCGCGTTCTTTCCTAGTTGTTCATACACCGTAAAGTTCACAAAGTAAGTCTTATATAAATCACACGAGTCGGAACTTAGTACAAGCGTGGAGTCTGATATATCTGAACGAAAGAAGGCCTTTTCGCCCTCGGTGAGAGTAATATCTTGGCTCCCCACCGGACAGACCAGTATCATGGTGGCGAAACGAGGCCATAACACCAGCAACAAGCAGAGTATCTCAACCCTACACCTCGACATTCCCCCCTTTTTTGTGTGAGTGTGTGTATTTATCTGCTTCTGAAGCTTCCACTCCTAACAACGTTTATTACGGACTTCCTGATCGAACACTGCTTTCAAGACTGAGCGATGGAAGATGTCGTCGCAGCTTACAGGTGCTGGTTTAAAGCTCACAGGTGCCGGAGCATCAGCACCACCCCACGCGACCAGCCAGGCTACACTGCCCAGGCTGTTGCTTGCGGCTACTCTCGCTCCTCCACACTAGGCGGGTGATATTTTTGCCTTGTATCACCACTGGTTTACTGTCATGAATTGCTAAATTCAAACCTCAAACAAGTTGATTAACATATTCTGGAATGTGTATTCAACTTGTGTTAAAGATATTTAACTTTGAGGTTCGTATAGTTAAAAGTAACGTAACATAGGCAATATTTTTTGGGATATTCCCATGACGTCAGGTTCAGTGGAAGGATGTCAGAGGCTGACATACGTGCCTTATCAACAATATATTCATGCACGTACCATTTTGTTAACATATTGGCCATACCGTGTTATTTACAGCTTAAATACCACCATCGATGTTTCATGACTACTCTTCCTTGCATAGCATAAACATTTATTAACAGAACTTATATTTAACAAAGATTAACGAAATCAAGTATCACCCTTATATGTTTAAAAACCTCCTCGTTTTTTTTTTTTTACATAATTCTTGGATAGCAAGAAAGCACAAGTAAATAAATTTGTTAGCTTTAATTTTCGTAAATAATGTGACGGACCGTTAGTTAAATATTAGACTAGGCTACGTCGCCAAGCAAATAGTTAAGAGAAAGTCTTATACATATTAATGGTCTTAGCTTTCTCCCGAGATAACTATCTTGATAAAAAAAAGAATAATGGATAACATTTCATCATAACTCAGCTTGTTGATAGCCCTTATACGCTTAAAAAAATATAAATATGCAAATTTAATACGAAAAAGTGCAACTTTGCCTGAGTTCTATTCAACATTGCCAATGTTCTTAGTTTTTATAACACTTTTCCAATGTTCTTAGCCAAATTCACAGTTTTTACCTCAGTTCCCTGGAGTTTAGCAAGTTTACTCCTTTCACCTAATGCCTCTGTTCACCTAGCAGGGAGTAGGTACTAAGGAGTTAGTCAGCTTGTTGTGGGGTTGCATTCTGGACGGGGTCAATAATTCGACCCTGGGGTGGAGAGGGACCAAGAATAATGCCTAACGTGTATGAATACACTCTGGCTTCCTGTCCCCTGACAGTAAATTATAATTGCGTTTTTTTTCAGACTGGTCGATACCTCGAAGGCTTTACTTCTTGCAGGGTCGGTGCTCGATCCCCAATGGTCCAAGGGGTTGGTCACCACAACTTCACTCCGTCCTCATATTCCTTCCAAGCACTAAATAAACATATTTTTTCACTCTTTATTCTGATAATTACTTTCATATAACTTCGTCTTTATTAATGTGTTGCATAGCTCTGTACATATCTAGTCAAGTGTTAAATATAAATCAAATCACTTAAAAATTATACTAACTGAAAGGGGATTTGCATATTTAATATTGTTGGTCTTAGTGTTTGACAAAAAATCGAATATATTTAGTGTATATTATAATAATGAGCAAGATAACTCAATGAAAAATTAACAAGCCTAGAATTTATACCGAATAATTATCTTATCAAATTATATTCAAATACAAATAATTACCATCAGAACAAAAATTCCCCCTAACCCAGTGGTGGTAAGTTGTCGAAAGCAATTTAAAATTCATTTGAATTAGCAGTAACACCTTGTATAATGAGTAATAGAATGATGCTCATTCATAGCTCAGAATGAATACATTCTGTACAGCTATACATGGCTGTATAGAAAGATACAGCTCAGTTGAAAACTTGCAATGTTCTATAATAGTCAACCTTAAAATCGAAAACCTTTTTCCCCTAGATTATTTGGAAATTCCATTTGAGCGAAGTGACCCGAATGTTTGTTATAATAATTAATAATTCATTGTATCGGGGGGACAGGAAGTCAGGTTATATATACAGTACATGTTAGGCTTGTACCCCAGGTACAATTTAAGATTCCCTAGGCCTAACTATTCTCAAAATAAGTAATTAACAAAAGAAGGCAACAAGCCGGGGAGACTATTTAGCACCATAACTATTCTCAAAAGTATAATATATAATAATAAACAAATATATAGTGTAAAAATAATTTTTTTTTATTACACAATAACGAACAAAATTTTGGCAACCCGTCCTCGGCTGAAGTCCATTACATCCAGCGGTCGACCCCTCAGATGCATTCATAAATTTTAACAATGCTGTTCATTCAAAACAGGAATTTTCTCATATATAAATTAATATTATAGTATATTAGCCTAGTGTGCATATATAGGCATAGATTAGGTTAGGTGTTTAGGTTCTGTTGGCGATTATTTGTATTTGTAGTACGTGGGTGAAGCATTTACAGCATTGTGGTTCGAACAAAAGTCGTCAGTGAAGCACTTATTCCGGAAGTGTTCGAACGAAATCAGTCGAGTCGTGTGTAAACTGTTTTTTCATTCATTTTTTCATTCAACAGGGGGTTTGGCGGGTGCATAGAATCACTTTTGGGTCTTTGTTTGGAGGACGGGCTGAAATTTTGGACTGTGGCTTTGGGTTCGGCTTCAAATTGAACCAGCCAGCCGAAGAACGGGTTGGTAGACTGAACGAACATTTGCGCGCGAGAGCTCGCTGTGTGCAGTTGTTATTAAGAGAGAATTGTCAACTGCTGCTGTGTACAACGTGCCGTGCAAGACCCTCCCTGGCCTAGAATTAAGGCGAGTGTGATAATATATTCCAGCATGCTTATTGACGAGGTAGCGGCTACCTTTTATTCTTAACACTATAATCTGAAGTTGATGTTAATAATCGGCTTTTTTTTATAGACGTTGTATGTTTATTTATTCATCTTTCCAACTTGTTTTATTCAAGTTGTAAATAAAGAGAGTTAGATAATGTTTCAACGGTAAGTCAGACCAATGAATTATCTTATTGACGGTGGTATTGTAGGAGTTACGTAAGATAACATAACTTTTTTTTCCCCCTTGTAGTAAACCTTTCCATGATATCTAATGTCCAACCATCTAGGTTCAAACGCAAATTACCCAACATGACTACAACAAACTGTTTCACTCCCAACATTCCACCTACTGCCAAACCATAACACTTAAAAAACATAAATTTTATAGTATATTTGTACTCCACCTAATCCGTTCAAGTATGTTTATTGAGACAAGAAAGAAACACATCTTAGGGACAGAGTAGCTTAGGCTATTTCTAGCCCCAAACCTAATCCGTCCCTCGCCTAATCCATCCATCTCAACCCCTTCCCCTCATTTAATTCCCACTCTCGCCAGCAACAAACGGCCCACTACAATCTAACCCCAAACCATCCATTTGCGACAGACTATTGAAGATCTTGCGAAGTAGGATCAAGTATAACATTTGGGGTTTACGGCTCATCCTCGGTGATTTGGAAAATTGGTTTACTGAGTATTATATAAAATATATATATTAATAGTATTTTCCCTTGTAAATTGATGTAAATATGATATTTATTGTATAATATTGAATAAAGAAAATAATTCCATCCGTCAACCAATCCCAACCCACCCCCCACCAACTTTCAATCCCCCCTTCCCCCTCCAACCAAGGTGGATAAACACACCTCCACCCTGACCAAACATATACCCACATTCTCCCCAGCCACCCACCTCTCCACCCCTTCCCCCTCTCATCCACCCAGTACAGCTCCTCTCCCCATCCCCCCTCCTCTCATCCACCTACTACACCTCCACTCCCTTACCCTCCCCCCCCTCTCATCCACCCACACTCGCCACTTTAAACCCAATTTACATATTACGGAAATAAAAGCCGGTGGTCCTTTCGTTCTTGCCTCGTATACAAGGCACAGCCCTGCGCCATTACATCTTTCTGTATTATCCCTCCCCCTAACCAGGAATAAAAATCGCCCAATACTCTGACTTGAGCTGAGTACAGTGCCTTATACAGTGCCTTAAGCCACGCTCCCTTACCCAATGTGCAGTGATGGTTCCCTACCACCCCCCCCCCCCCACTGATGGGCTCACCATAGCCCGTGCTATTTGGAACTTTTTTGTTCCAAGTAGCAAATCTTGAACAACAAATGCTGGCGCCGCCTGAAGTAATGGTGGTTGTTGTGATACGCAATACTGCTCTTGTTATACAATAAATCCTCCTGGTTAGTTAGTATGCTTTGTGACTATGTGGACGATCGTCCATATTGATGTAATGGACATTTAGAATGTAGAATTTAAAAACAAAATTCACGTGGGTTGCTACCCCACGCGAGTTAAATTGCTTACATGATAGCAATTTAACCCAATTAAAGTGTCTTTGGTATAATTGATATATAATGGGAATGGTTCATAATTATATAATCGATATCACCGTCTTCCTCCAACCTCCCCCCACCCCACCTCACCCCATCCCAGCCATTTGAGTGGGATGGGGATCCCGAAAACTCTCTAGAGCAGTTTAGGTAAAGTAGGCTTGGAGAGCTATATAAACTTTCGCCAAAAATTCAATCTTCAAGCAACATAGCAACTCGTATTGACATAGTTATATAAGTGAAATAACCTTTAATGCCAGCATAAATACAGACATTCAAATTCGTACAGCTACTGATGCGGACTTCACTTAATTGTAATTACATGTAATTCAAAAATTATTCATTTTAGTAATGTATTATGAAAATGAATCATATCGTACTAGTGACGTGTTGAAGAAATAAAGCAAGGTATAGGAGTATTTGGCATACGGTAGCGTATGTTGTATATTGGTACAGAAACTTACGGAAAGGATAAGACGTTCAGTTGATTAAGGCAGCGTCTGGGATGCTCTTGGACGCAAGTTCGAATCCTCGTCACGGCCCTTGTGGATTTGTTCTTTACGGTGAAGTGTAGATAGAGTTCAGGCACTCAGTCCCAGGTCACATTACTCTGCCATCCCTGGTTTCCTAAATTCCTCTCCTATTTGAATTATCTAGTAATATTGTCACTTTTACTGTAGTAGTTATTGAAAACCATTTATGAAACTAGATTACTTTATAGTCATTAAATGAAAATATATCCTTATTTCAATGGCTCATTAAACTGTCATTTGATGTAATATTCAAAATATTGTTGGGAAGGCTGAAAGTGCTTTGTTGTCCAAAGAAAAATAGGCTAATAACTTTTTCCTTCTAACACTCCTCGCTTTTTATTAAATATTTTACTTTTTTACTACTTAAATTAAATTTATTTACTTCATTTTTAGTAAGGAAGGGCGGATATGGAAAGCGCGCCTTTAGCCCTTCCCATAATCTTTGGGAAGGGCAATGACGCTTGCAGAGCCATTGTAGCTAATTTGCTACATTTGGCAACAACTAAAGGGGGGGGGAGTGGGCCAGCCCCATGGATCGGTCTCGTAGTGTCGTCATTTTTTTTTTTATCTCCAATAGCAGTTAGTTTAGCTCATTTATCATGCACCCCATCTGATTATTTTTCCCAGTCAGAGAAATGGCTGAACAATCCAAGTAGCGGTGTTCACGGCTTCAGATCAATTGAACTGTCAAGTCAAGGTGGTGGAGAGGTGTTCTGAGACTATTTGTGCGACATTGCCATGGTTCACATTTTTTAAATTCAAAGAAAATAATGACCAAAGCGTAGTAGGCTACGCTTTTGTAATTATTTTGTTAATTATTTAACTATACTGTAGTTAAATGTTTGGGAGATGCTTAACAAGCAACAGCATTCCTGATAAACCTCTATTGACTGTGAATAAGCACACTTGACTACAAACCACAGTGATTAGAACATAAATGAAGGTAAAGGACAGACCCAATACGCGTGGAAATGTATTTATTCAAAATTTTCGGACGAAGCTTATATCTTCTATTAAGGTTCTGTAAATAATGTTCTGGGGCCGGATTCATGAAAGCACTTACGCAAGCACTTACGAACGTGTACATCTTTCCTCAATCTTTGACGGCTTTGGTTACATTTATTAAACAGTTTACAAGCATGAAAACTTGCCAATCAACTGTTGTTATTGTTATAAACAGCCTCCTGGTGCTTCCGAGCTCATTAACTGTTTAATAATTGTAAACAAAGCCGCCAAAGATTGAGGAAAGATGTACAGTTCGTAAGTGCTTGCGTAAGTGCTTTCATGAATCTGGCCCCTGGTCAAAACTATGAGTGTTTTTGTCTGGCAGAGCTCTTCGACACGTGGCATCCATCATTCGTCGTCATGATTATGCTCAGCAGGGACTCGCCAGAGATACCGAACCTTCAGATGAATGTTAAATTGTCCTGTATTCTGGGAACTGGGGACCCGGGCATAGTGGGACCCTTGTCCTCACCCCAGTGCTGAAAGCTCTCTCCACTGATGCTGAAGATGCATTGTTAGGAGCCCTGGTTAACTGTGCTAGATGTTCTCATGCTCCAGAAATCCAAGGGATTGATTGCTCTCCTGGTGCACATGACAGGGTGAGGTAGGGTGTGATCTCGTAATCAGCATAGGTTGGTTAGCATCAGGATTGTGGGGTAATTCCTAGCAGGCATTGTGTTTTTATTTTTATAGCTTTTTAGTTTATTTATATTGAATATATTGATATTTATTATTACTTCAAATAGTGGACTGTGTTTTAAAATTTAACCTGCCAGATCTTACCTGAACACAAGTGGGGAGTTGTTAAATGTACATAGTTTGTACCACAATTGGTGGGTATAAATAAGCTATACACATTTACTGTTTGAATAGGCTACAGTATATGTTAATACTATAAATTATTATATTGTATACATGTGTTAGTATAAAGTTAACTGGGTTCTCGGCTGTGAGTGTTAATATGGCCTGTTTTGGCAGTGGGAGAGAGAGCTGGTCCCTAAACATCAGCTTTGGGTTAGCCACACGTGGATCTTCTGGTCATGTAAATGGCGTCTGTTGGGGTTATCTTGAGATGATTTCGGGGCTTTAGTGTCCCCGCGGCCCGGTCCTCGACCAGGCCTCCACCCCCAGGAAGCAGCCCGTGACAGCTGACTAACACCTAGGTACCTATTTACTGCAAGATAACGGGGGCATAAGGTGAAAGAAACACTGCCCATTGTTTCTCGCCGGCGTCCGGGATCGAACCCGGGACCACAAGTCCAGCGTGCTGTCCGCTCGGCCGACCTCTACAAAGGGAGGGAGGGGTAGTCAAAGCATGTATAAACATCTGTGGTGCTTGCAGGTGGCAAACTCTCAGTAACTTACCTCCCTTGAACCACACCTGCGAAATGACTACAGAGTACTAACTGCATCCGCGCATATGTTATAGTACAAGGAAGCGTTATTTATCGCAAACCTGGCTTACCCTGGTTTGGGGCTTCGCAGGCTGCTTAACCATATCAACAATACTACATAATGAATAAGAGCTCAATAATCATTTGTACACTGTATGGATATAATTAGCACTTCCCGTTGTTAGTGTAAGGGTCGCTGTGGCAATTTCTCGGTTGGTCGACTTATAATTTGAGTCTTTGACGAGGTTGTGCGTGTCGCGAAATTCTCCACAAGAAGCCCTCTCGTGTGTTTACAATCTGGTACACTGGCTCGCCTAGGAGAGGCGTCTCTCCAGGATTGGTTCCAATATTGTCTTTATATTGACAATAGGAGGAAACCTTTAGGTTTACGGTATATTTTATGTAGTTAAAGCATAAAAAAACAGTTTTTGTTATTGAGTTGAATTACTAAACTGTTGCTTCACAGGATACGTTATGTATAAATATATTGTGATGACAGATACCAAATCTCCCATTCTCTTTAAACTTTTGTTGACTAACTAATATAAATTAACTACATCTTATGATGGTTACAATGTTAGTATATAGTACAGTATTAGTATGTGTCTGATTTTCGACAAGGATTGTCTGTAAATTTTCGCATCTCCTTTTGCATGGAGAACTAATATTTACTGGAGCAACCAGTGGTTACGTATCTGCAGGGATCTGTACAGTAAACTGTTGTCAAGCCAGTTTTTTCAGTTTGATCCGTACATCACCGTACTTCCGGTGTGGATGAAGTATATCAGAGGAGTAAAATAATAATCTTACCACATTCTGCATCTCCAGTATAGGTATACCTTATTCTGACTTTTACCCAGTTATTCATTCCTCCATCCTTGCCCGTTGGTCTTCTGTTGATGGTAACAAACTGCATACTCTTAAGCATAGTGTCCTCCCCATGGCCTTCCCCCCTACTACCGTAATCGGCGATGGGAAACGGCTCTGGCCAGGTTACGTATTGGCCATACACGCTTAACTCACGGTCACTTAATGGAATGCTTCCCTTGCTCCTTATTGTCCAAATTGCATTGTCCCTCTTACGGTCGTGCGTATCCTTGTTAATGTCCTGACTTCCAGGACGAGCGTGTCTTGCTTTCCGACCGTTCCTCGCGGTCACTTGTCCCACGATGGAATTCTTGATGAATTGGATACTTTTGATATCGTTCGCCTTGTGCGTTTCTGTTCTCGTAGTGGCATCCTTGGTGATATTTAGCGCCCTCTGATTATTCCACACATTTGATGGGGCTACATAACCTTCCCGGTTTGGTGCCTTCTTTTGATAATTACTTACTTAAATATATGAGTGTTGCCAAATTTTGATTATAAATTGTAAAAATGTATAAAGCAGCTAGTAGATGCTTAAAGTTACTTGAAGCTCTTAAAAGTTAATTTGGCAAAGTACAGTTAAAAGTTTAAGTACCAACTAATGTTGAAATTGAAAGTACTAGGCTTGAATTCAAGTACTTGTATGTAACTGCATCCTTCTAAAACTTGTGGAGGGGAATTTGGCGGAGCCTTGACTCGTAAACATGCTACTTTGGGTTCCTGTATTGCGCTATCTTGTGTAATATCTGCTGAGTGTCCTAGTTAGGTTCGGTCTTGTATCATCAATCCTTACTTCTTATAGTTAATTTCTTTTCCAGGAAGCTGCACAACTGTGACCATTGAAGTTACTCTGGTACTTCTTCACTCGTAAAATGCCACAGTACAGGCATTATCATACCAACATGAGCAGAGTTACCAGGATCGGCGGAGATGATAGTCTTGGCTTCATAGTGTTTGTACCTGTCGTTGTTGTCATGTTCCTGTTAGCCGTTTGCTGCCGGGTATGCAGGGGGCAGACAGCGAGAGGAGAACACATTTCTCCAGAAATACCCACAGTACCACCAGTGGAGGACAGCGTATTTACCTTGGGAAATGGAGAACACTCTCCCGAAAGTGTCAGCCTACAGCAAAGACGAAGTTCGTTACCTGGCTGGGTTGGTCAGAGAAATTTCTTATCTGAACATGGCAGCGTATCAATCCCGTCATGCTCGATAGATGTCGAGGCACAGAAAAGTTTCACAGAATCTCAAGCATGCTCTAGCTCCACGCCTGTCGAGGCTACGCCCCATGAAGGCCCACGGTCTAGCTCCACGCCTGATGAGGCTACACCCCATGCAGGCCCACGGTTTAGCTCCACGCCTGTCGAGGCTACGCTCCATGCAGGCCCACGCTCTAGCTCCACGCCTGCCGAGGCTACATTCCATGCAGGCCCACGCTCTAGCTCCATTAAAGATACACCCAAAGCGCACCAGAGTGCTAACATTGGTGAAACTACAAAAGTCCATCAAAGCTCCGTCACAGGCGAGCCAGGCTTCGTAGCCCATCATCAACCCTCCGTGGATGACGAGGTGTCGGACCCAGCACAAATAAGGGTCTCCTGCTCGGCAAAGTCTGCAACAAGCACTAGCAACAAAACCAGTCAGGCATGCCACCCGTCCGGTTCCACTGCGACTACAAAGTGTCGCAGATACGACTCCCCACTGGCCAGACTCGTGACCTTTCAGAACTTCTCTTACAAGCCCTTGAAAAATTAAGTGATCTGCATGTACAGTTGATACCATTGTGATTTCAAAACGTGTAGGAATACTTTTGTTATAGTTTGGAAAATGTGTGTATTTCAACCCATCCTCGACTCAAGTCCATTCCATCCAGTGGTCGACCCCACAGACGCATTCATAAATTTGTACATGCTGTTCATCCAAAACGGGAATTTTCTCAAATATAAATTAATATTGTAATATATTAGCATATTGTTCATATATAGGCATAGGTTAAGTTAGGTGTTTAGGTTCTGTGGGCGATTATTTGTGTTTGTAGTACGTAGGTGAAGCATTTACAACGTTGTGGTTCGAACAAAATTCGTCACTGAAGCACCTGTTCCGGAAGTGTTCGAACAAAATCAGTTGTGAGTCGTGTGTAAACCGTTTTTAATTCATAAACCAACCCGTCCTCGACTCAAGTCCATTACATCCAGCGGTCGACCCCACAGACGCATTCATAAATTTTAATGTGCTGTTCATTCAAAACGGGAATTTTCTCAAGTATAAATTAATATTATAATATATTAGCATATTGTGCATATATAGGCATAGGTTAGGTTAGGTGTTTAGGTTCTGTTGGCGATTATTTGTATTTGTAGTACGTGGGTGAAGCATTTATAGCGTTGTGATTCGAACAAAATTCGTCAGTGAAACACTTGTTCCGGATATGTTCGAACGTCAGCAGTTGTGAGTCGTGTGTAAACCGCTTTTCATTCATAAACAGGGGGTTTGGCGGGTGCATGGAATCACTTTTGGATCTTTGTTTGGAGGACGGGCTGCATAAACATAGGCTTGAGCAGGTGCATGGAATCACTTTTGGGTCTTTGTTTGTAGGACGGGCTGCTTCACTTTCCCCAAATCCGAACGAGTCTCTAATGAACCAATAATGCAGCCCGTCCTCCAAACAAAGCCCCAAAAGTGATTCCATGCACCCGCTAATCCCCCTGTTTATGAATGAAAAGCGGTTTACACATGACTCAACTGATGACGTCCGAACACTTCCGGAACAAGTGCTTCGCTCACGTCCTCTGTTCGAACCATAATTCTATATATGCTTCACCCACGTACTTCAAATACAAATAATTACCAACAGAACCTAAACACCAAACCTACGCCAAACTATACATTCAATTTTTATGTATAAGAATATTAATTTATATATGAGAACAAACCAATTTTTAATACACAGTATGTTAAAATGTTAAAATTGATGAATGCGTCTGGCGAGGACGGCCGCTGTTTTAAACAGCCTAGTGTGAGAACGGGTTGTGTTGGTCACTGATTGACACCTCAAACTCGCATAATGTTAACCAATGGGTTGAGTTTTAGGGTGAGTGTCAACCAATCAGCGGCTGGGTTTAGTTGGCTGCTGGTTATATAAGGAACGATGAGACAAAAAGCACTTCAGCATATTTTACCTCACTTTTGGTATCCAGTTCCAGCTTCGTCTTTTGAAGGTTAGTTGAAAGTGGAGGATCCCCTCCCTTTACCCTTGTTGCGTCCCCCCTTCCTTTCCCCTAGTTCCCCGTACTAGAACTAGTGAAGTGTGTGGGTAAAACTACCCTTATTTCAGATTTTCCTTGACGAATTGAAGGTTGGGTTAAGTGCGCATAATGCTGCTGCGTGTGGCACTATAACTGACCCAAACTGGCCTGTGACGCTTACCCCACTTGTATCATGCGAGAGGCTAGCCCTTAACGTCTGTCCTTCAACCTTAAAAATTCGGTTAAATATATATTACAAATTCCTGTAAGTGTACTAACGGAAAGTAGTATTTAAAAATTAAAACTACAAATTCAAAACTAAATTTAAAACATGCTTTAATAACATGACTACTTAAATTCAGCAGGCTAGAGATGTAATTCTAGTAATGGGTAATTAGTGAAATTTTCTAAAACTCATGAACCAGGATGTTAATCTTTAGGATGTTCATCCATGATGTTGATCTGTTTTTATTTTTTATACCATCAACGCTAATTATATAACTTGTTGTATATATTAATCGTAAAATTACCTTGAAGTGAAGCATTTCAGTCGATTTGCATCATTCATGATTACTCAGTGTAGTGTAGAAAGTTCTCTAATATAACAAGTTTATTATTATTATTATTTTCTACCAAAGACGTGGCCACACAGTTACAATGCTAAGCAACATATATACATTTTCTTCTGTCCTCGAACGGAATAATTCGTCCTGACCATTGCATTTGAACGATAGTTACCTTGACTTAACTATATATAAATAAATAAATAACTACCGGTTCGTAGTGGTGCAAGTGTCAGCTCCCGGGGCTCTACACAAGACAGTCGGAAGCTTGACAAACGCGCCTTAAGTAAAATTCAGATGCTAGTCTCTGCTAATCAACGCTAATTATAAAGTCTTGCCGTAATATTACTCGTAAAATTGCCTTAAAAGTAGATTATCATTTCAGACGATTTTTATCATTCTTGACTTCAATATATGTGAAAAATATATCGATTAATAATTACCAAAGCAATCAGTTTATTATACAGTTCATGCATCTTGAGAATGGTCAGTAATTAGACCTTGTGGGACTGAACACAGTGCTCAAAATTTAGCATAAAATTATTTACTGGTAAGGAGGAAATTGATTACCATCTACTGGACTTGGAGACAAAAGTTAACTAAATAATAATAATTCCAATTATTAAGATTTATAGTTAAAATCAAAATATTTATTCACGTGAAAGTACACACACAGATGGTTTCACCAATGGTATATGTAGCTACGACCTATGGCTCCTTATTTTAGTATTTTGGATGATTTTAAGGCTTAATTAAGATTGTAGTGAAGTCGTCAGCGAAGATGATGGCTGTTGACGGATGGATACTCATGACTAAAACTAGTTTACTCTTTACTGAAAATAGTTAAAATTATAATATTTATTTATATACAAGAAGGTACATAGGGTTTGTGAGAATACATAGCATAGTATTTACAATCTTGTAAAGCCACTAGTACGCGCAGCGTTTCGGGCAGACAAAAGTCTCCATTCTTTGTCAATGTCTCAACCCATGATTTAAACCACTATTCTACACTGCATCTAGTTAAAGGGTTAGCACTTAGGAGAAATCTTGGTGCTTCTCAGTAAATTGTAATAAGCACGCTATAAATTATTATATATAATAATGGTTTGTTCGCCAAACATTATTTACAATAGTGTACGCTTTGACAACTTTAAAGAGAATGAATTGTAGGAACGTTCACAGAAAACGACATGACGTTGGAATGTCCACGGGGAAAACTACTACAAATAGGATGGATATAACATCCACACGCAGTCACTCAATGCTTGAGGTCCAGTACCACCCAAAAGCATTCGTATGGGGTCCACCACCACCCGTTGGATGGGTATGGGTCCTCACTGCCACTCACTGGATGCGTTTAAATATCATAGGCACTGTAGGTCAATGTGGGTGATATATAAAAGAGGCTAGATGGGGTCTCTACAGGCGTCGGATGGTATTTTAGTCATTTATTGCAGAGTGGGTTTGACCCCCCTCCCCCCCCCCCCCACCCCACCCCAACTTCGACCAAAACGTCTAAGGTTGTCTTCCCCTCTCGCTTACTAAGGGAAGTAAGACATGTATATATAAGACATGTATATGTTTATGTATAAGTTATACATAAATACATACAAATCAGTCTAAACTCAAAATATTTACGATTTGCCAATTTGTTACTAACTAGACTCTCAATTTCACAAAATTTTGTAAACCTTGCACTTAAAATTTTGTCGTTTCATAAGTTGATAACTTTAATTATCAATTAATAATTTATTTTCTCTCTTAAATATTTGCACGTTAATATTAGTTACTATAGTCTTTTTGTGATAAAATATTACAGCATTGTTAATGGACTATGAAGCTTTAATTATATCTGCGTCTCCAGGTTTTGCTTGTCTGTTCCTATAGTTTATATTGTGGTGTGGTAGTGGGCCCCACAACCGTCCTGTGGGAGCTAGTGGGCCCCAACACCCGTCCTCTGGGCATTAGTGGGCCCCACAACCGTCCTGGGAGCGCTAGTGGGTCCCCACACGCGTCCTATGAACGATAGTTGGCCCCTCACGCGTCTTTTGGCCGAGAGTGGGTGATCCACAAGGGTCCTGTGGCCGCTAGTGGACCCCGCACGAGTCCTATGATTCCTAGTGGGCCCCACATGCGTCCTGTGGCCGCTAGTGGGGCCCCACACGCGTCCAGAGGCCGCTAGTGGGCCCCACACGAGTCCTGTGGCCGCTAGTGGGCCACACACACGCGTCCTGTGGCCGCTAGTGGGCCCTATATGCATCCTATGGCCACTAGTGCGCCCCACATGTGTCTTGTGGCCTCTAGTGGGCCCCACACGGGTCCTGTGGCCGCTAGTGGGCCCCCCACGCGTCCTGTGGCCGATAGTGGGCCCCCCACGCGTCCTGTGGCCGATAGTGGGCCCCCCACGCGTCCTGTGGCCGATAGTGGGCCCCCCACGCGTCCTGTGGCCGATAGTGGGCCCACCACGCGTCCTGTGGCCGATAGTGGGCCCCACATGCGTCCTGTGGCCCATAGTGAGGCCCTACACGCGTCCTGTGGCCCATAGTGAGTCCCTACACGCGTCCCGTGGTGGTTAGTGGGCCCCACAAGAGTCCTGTGGCCACTAGTGGGCCTGTAAGCGTCCTGTGGCCGCAAGTGGAGCCCAACGTGCGTTCTGTGGCCAGTAGTAGGCCCCCACGTGCGTTTTGTGGCCGCTAGAGGGCCCCCACATGCGTCCTGTGGCCACTAGTGGGCCCAGCAAACGTCCTGTGGCCACTATTGGGTCCTACAAGCTTCTTGTGGCCGCTAGTGGTCCCCACACGCGTTCTGTGGCCGCAAGTGGTCCCCACACGCGTCCTGTGGCCGCAGGTGGTCCCCACACGCGTTCTGTGGCCGCTAGTGGTCCCCACACGCGTTCTGTGGCCGCTAGTGGTCCCCACACGCGTCCTGTGGCCGCAAGTGGTCCCCACACGCGTTCTGTGGCCGCTAGTGGTCCCCACACGCGTTCTGTGGCCGCTAGTGGTCCCCACACGCGTCCTGTGGC